CTCCATGCTTCCTCCAGCCAAGCCTTGGGGCAAGCCTGGGATGAAGCCCCCCCTTCCTCGGGGTCACTCCATGCATCCCGTCACGGCCTGTCCCCAGGGGCCATTCCCACTGAGGGGACAGCCAGGGTGGCGCCTCAGTGCTTGTCCCTTGCCCAGCCCAGTGCTCCTGTCCCTTGAGGTGTTTCCACCTCCTGGTGTCCCTCCAGGAGGTGCTTCCTCCTCAGTGACCATCACTCTCCAGTCCCAAAGAGGCGTCCCCTGCTCACAGTAGTGCCAGGTGGGCACTGCCCAGTACAGCCAGCAGCAGGGCACAGCGCAGAATGGGCTCGTGCCTGAATGCACCCCCGGGTCTATGCAGAGGGCTGGACCTGTCCCCCCAGCCAGGTCTCCCAGGGCATCCCCATAGCCCAGGCTGGGAAGGGAGCTCTCAGACAGCCCCGGTTCTCCCACCAGCACCTCATGACAGACCCCTCTGGAATCAGAATGATCCCAGGTCTCCTTCTGACAGCACTGAATGACATTCGGCACAGCCTGGTGATGGCTGCACCACCAGGATCGCTGGCACCTTTTTGCCCAATCCCAAGCAGTTTGGGCCGTGGACCCACAAGAGCAGCATCGCTAGGACTCATCCTGCGGGATGCCCGTCCGCTGCACCCGGGGCAGGGCAGCACCAGACGTGGGGCAGCGCGGGGCTCCCTGCCACATGCACAGGGGAGCCGGCGCTGTCCTCGGCCCGGGGACACCCTCAGCATGGGGCGCTCACCTGAAGGCTGTGAGCTCCACCTTCTCGTGGTCGTTGGTCACCAGCTCGGGGATGAGGGACAGGTGAGAGACCTGCGTGGCTGCCCAGCCAAACTGGAAGATGACGATGAAGGGGAGGTAGTAGATGAAGACGGCCCACGGCGGGGTGTTCTCCTTGCAGCCCAGGCAGGGGTTAAAGATGAAGGGGAAGGACAGGATGACGCAGGTGGTACCTAGCGAGGCAGAGACGGGCAGTGAGAGGCTGCCAGTGCTGGCACCCCGGTGCCTCCTGCACCCATGCCACATCCCAAGGGCAGGTGGACGGCCACAGCCCCCTGCCACCCCCAGAGGCTGGGAGGAAGGCCGGCACCTTCCTCAGGCCGCGTGAACCACAGGGAACCCTCATGCTCCCCTCACCCTCTCCCTTTAGCAGCCAGCAACATGGCACAAACAGACGCTCGTCAGTGACCTTGCCCAGGCAAGAGCACCCCAAACCCCCCAGACCACCTCGCCTCTGCCCCACAAACTGCCAGGGCACTGTCCCTCTGCCACCGCTGCGAGCAGGGGCTCCCCAGCACGACCAAGGGCTTCTCTCTCCCTGTCGGGGCCTGCACGTTATCAGTCCCAAGGACACGCGGGTCCCCCCGCCTGCCTGCGGGTGATAAGGGCCTCGCGGATTGGGACGGGTCCCCGCGTCCCTCCTCCTGCAGGAGTTGTCACCAGCACCCTGGCCGGTGCTGGTCCCCGCTGGCAGCTTGGCCTCCGTCCCAGAGCAGCCCTGCTCGTGCTGGGGCT